GGTGCAAGTTTAAAAATAAATTAAAAGCCTTGCTGGGAGATGGGGAGGGGGAGAAGTGAAAAAGTACTCTTTGGGAGGGTGTCCACGCTGAAATCTCTTCTCCATTTTTCTTTCCGGATTTTGGGCATGCATGCACACACACATAGTGTGTTTTCCAAGCCTTCAGTTCTGGAATGGAACCTGGCAATTGACCATGTGAAATGAAGTTGCCTTAAACCCCCCTGCCACTAGCTGGCCAAATATTACTTAATAATTTTGTAACTCAACTTCCCCATTTGTCAAAACAAAGAAAACAAAACAGAAAGTCAAAAACTGAAGCCAGAAGGCATGGTGGCATAGTGGTTAAAATGCTGGACTCCAACATAGCTGACTACAGTTGGAGTCCTGGACTGGGTGGCTTGAAAAAATCATGCTGGGAGAGTGCATGCATGCCCCAAATTCCAGGAGAATGGAGGAGAAGGGGTTGTAGCATGGCCATCTCCCTACAGGGTGATTTTTCACTTTTTTTCACTGTCTCTGTCTCTTTCCAGTGAGAGCACCCACCCCATGACAAAAACCTTAAGAAAAAAAAAAAGAAAAAAAACTTACGAGTTATTCTGAGGATTAAAGGTTACATGCAGGCTGGCTCCGTGACCCAGTAGTTAAGGCAGCTGAATCCCACAGGGCCAACATTGAAGTTTGAGTCCCGGACCCCACGGCTTGAAAAACATGCTGGGCTGTGTGTGCGTGTGTGCCCAAAATCCCAAAAAAGAGAAAGAGATGGAGGAGAAGGGACTGTGGTGTGACTGTTCCCTATGGTGGCGGGGTGGGGGAGGGAGGGGTGCTTTTCCTCTCTCTCTGTCCCTCTTTGGCAAGCTCACAACACTCTTGCCAAAACAAACAAATGATTACCATTACAATTACATGTACCTTGTTAATACTAGTGCCTGACACAAAATAAACACTACTTAGGTTCTTCACTGATGAGAATACCAATGTCCTTGTAGGACAGAGAAGCAGGCCATGGCTGAAGACCATATAAGAGGATGGATTTGAAGCCTACACAGTGTTCACTATAGCAAGCAGCTCCTCATTTTCATTTTGGCTCTATGTTTAGGTCTCTCTCTAAGGTTAGGTAATTCACTTAATATCTCTCAGCCTTGGTTTCCTCATTTACAAAATAAAAGTGTGGTGATTGAAAACATTTACGGCTGGGACCAGCAGTTAGCGTGATGGTTATGTTGCTGGACTCCCATGTAGCTGACTGCGGTTCGAGTCCCAGACCCGGTGGCTTAAACTCATGCCAGGTGTGTGTGCTTGCGTGCCCAAGATCCTGAGAGGAGAATGGAGAAGGGCCTATGGCATGGCTATCCTCTCTGGGGGGGTGAGCTCTTGCTTTCTGTTTCTCTGTCTCTGTCTTTCTGGTGAGCACGCGTGCCCTATAGCAAAAAAACAAAAACAAACAAACAAACAAACAAAAAACAAAAAAAACCCAAAACCAAAACCAAAACCAAAAAACAACTTTCCAAAGGAAAAACAAAACATTTATGGACTTTTTCAGTGATAATATTTCATACATTTTATTATGAGCATTGGTGACTAATAAACACATGGCTATATGAAAAATTGTTTCTCTCTAAAAATTGGCAAGAGCTAAACATGTTGGCCTCAGGCATACAATAGATGGTTATTAAATGTCCATAGGAGAATTATTAATGGAAAGTTTTCCCATGTTAGGCAAAAATCTACTCCCAGCAGCTGGAGCACAAGATGTCTCACAAGATGTAGCAGGTAGTCTACTCCCTAGGCTTGGGATGAGAACTTATGGCTTATTTTATTGCTCTACAACATAAACAATAACCAAAATTCATTTGACAATATGACAAAAGCAAAAATAAGTAAGTGGTGGTCCAACAGGCTTTGGTAAGACAGGAACAAATGGAAAGGAGAAAGCTTTTTGGATTTGGTATCTGTGTGGGTGAAATCTATGACTGTCCCAAAGTTTTCTTGGGCACACAAGTAAAGAGTTAGGTGGCACTAAAGTTATTTGACACCCACAGTCTGAAAGACAGTAAACATAGTTATATTCCAAGTGCTGAGTCATACGTATGATGACAAGGAGAAACCTTCAAGACTCTAGCTTCCCTAAGTCTTAGTTTTCAGTAGATTGCCTTCTGCTGAAAGAATGACTTCATGTTTTAAGATTTGGTTATTTATGGTGAGCGCTTTCCTTCCCATATTCCACTTAGTGTTCCCCTTTTAGCCCAAAACCTGTTGATTTATTTTTGGTCTTGTTTTAATTTCATGAAAAGAAAAAAAAAAAAAGCAGTAGCAAGTGTTTGTTGAGAAGGGAAGGTTTTTCAAGAAAAATATTGAGTGTAGATTAAGTATAATTCTAGAGAGCAATTCCTAAATTAACGATTATGCCTCTCTTCCCCATGAAATTATCTTAATAATGAAAAGAAATTGCTTATGCATACAGGAAATTCTGCTTTTCTTAGATTCTGCAATCAGCAACCAAACACTTCCAGTGGAATTCCTTGAAAGAAAAGCGGAGTGTGGTGGGGGGACAGAGAAGGGTGCTCAAAGCCACTTTAGGTATTCATAAATATTATTTTTAAATTTTTATTTAACTTTCTCTCTCTCGCTTTCTTTCTTTCTTTTTGACCAGAGAGGGACAGAGTGAGAGAGAGCAAGGGAAAGTGAGAATGCAAGCTGCCAGGTCCAGGACTTGAACCATAGTTGGCCATGTGGGAGTCCAGCACCATTAACCACCACACCACCTGCCAACCTCCATAGATATATATTTTTTAAGTTTTAAAGCGTTATATATCAGGTTAAACAGGAAATTTTAAATGCTTTATTCTATTTAACAAATATTTATGGAGAAAATAGGGAATATTTTTGATTTTATATTTCTCTAGGATTTTGATGCAAAAGTGTCATAAACTTTTGCATTTTGAAATTATTTGCAATGAACAACTTTTAAAATATTTTCTAAATAACTTCTGCTTTAAATAATTACAAGCCAGCAAAGTCTTTATCCAGTAAATGACAGTATCTACTATGTATTGTATTTTATTCTATTCAAGGCAGTAATTGAGATTAGATGTATTGACAGTGGGAAAGTTAGGTCAGAGGTGGGTTTTGCAAAAGAAGATTCCAAGTCAATTTGTACACAGTTTAGGTTGGTTTCTTTGTTTCTCCTTTACCCGACTCCAAAACACAACTTTTCCTATGGTGCCCTTCCAGAATCCCACTAGATGACCGTCATTTGCTTTGAGCCCCAACTTTGGCAAAATAAATCTTGTCCGATGCTCTGGACTTTCCCCTATCTCCTCCCATCTCCTACTGCCTGTTCTCCAACTCCTCCCATAACCAAGACAGACCTAGTGGCTGACCAATGGTCATGGGTTATTGATAAGGATTCAGAGTGAGAGAGAGCAAGGGAAAGTGAGAATGCAAGCTGCCAGGTCCAGGACTTGAACCATAGTTGGCCATGTGGGAGTCCAGCACCATTAACCACCACACCACCTGCCAACCTCCATAGATATATATTTTTTAAGTTTTAAAGCGTTATATATCAGGTTAAACAGGAAATTTTAAATGCTTTATTCTATTTAACAAATATTTATGGAGAAAATAGGGAATATTTTTGATTTTATATTTCTCTAGGATTTTGATGCAAAAGTGTCATAAACTTTTGCATTTTGAAATTATTTGCAATGAACAACTTTTAAAATATTTTCTAAATAACTTCTGCTTTAAATAATTACAAGCCAGCAAAGTCTTTATCCAGTAAATGACAGTATCTACTATGTATTGTATTTTATTCTATTCAAGGCAGTAATTGAGATTAGATGTATTGACAGTGGGAAAGTTAGGTCAGAGGTGGGTTTTGCAAAAGAAGATTCCAAGTCAATTTGTACACAGTTTAGGTTGGTTTCTTTGTTTCTCCTTTACCCGACTCCAAAACACAACTTTTCCTATGGTGCCCTTCCAGAATCCCACTAGATGACCGTCATTTGCTTTGAGCCCCAACTTTGGCAAAATAAATCTTGTCCGATGCTCTGGACTTTCCCCTATCTCCTCCCATCTCCTACTGCCTGTTCTCCAACTCCTCCCATAACCAAGACAGACCTAGTGGCTGACCAATGGTCATGGGTTATTGATAAGGATTGAACTGCTATTGGTTGGTTAGCCAGCAAATGACTGGGACAGCAGGCATAGTAGGGCCTGAAACAAATGATTGACCTAAGCACTCATTTCAAATCAATAACCACCTAAGCGTCTATTATGTTCAGGCACTGTGCTAGGCACCAGATGATGCTGAGGCTATGGGACCCACAGTTAAACTTTGAGAGCCACAGTTTTAAATACAGTATAAGGGTTTCCAACTTCTTCCTCCAGACTGAGTCAACAGGTCTGTAAATGGAAATCCGGCATAGATCATTTTTACTTCTCAGGCTTCCCATCCCTTAACTTTTATGTGTATCCAAAGCTGAGAACCACTGTTTCATTGGATAGACTAAGGCTGGTTTGGTTCCCTAGGAGTTTGGGACCCAGTAATCTACACATTCCTCTGAGTCAATCTTAGGAATTATGCTGTATTTAAGGATAATAAATAAGTGACTTAGTAACTGATTAAAGAAAGCACTAGTGCGATTTTCATTCAAACTAATTTCCTTTCTTTGGAAAGACTTTCTGAGCATCTCCTGAGTATTTTCCAATATCATGACAGAAATGTTATTAGTAAAACACCCAGAGGTCTTCAGAGGAAAGGTCTTAAGATAGTGGGGTCCATTTGAACCCAATCTGGGCCCTCTTTGGGTTGCACAGCCCTTGTAGTTCCAAGAAGTGGGCTGGGCATGCTCAGTGGGCAGGGTCGGTTTTGGGGGGGTGCAAGTTGCAAGCCTGCAGCTCAGCTTCGGGGTTCTCCGCCTCCCCCCACCTGTACGAGGCTGGTCCACAGGAGCCTGTGCTCAGCATCCCATCCCCAGTGCTTGGGCTCACCCTTCCCTGAGGGACCCCGCGCTGACATTGAGGCGGGGGTTCAGGAGGCCTGGTGCGTCTCCTGAGCGCGCGGTGGGGAGCGAGCAGGAGTAAGGGGTTTGGGCTCAGATCGCGGGGTCCTAGGAGTCTGTCCACCTACTATATGCATTTCTAGGCCCAGGGAAGCCTCCTCGCCTGGAGGTGCCGAGTAGGGGGAGCCAGATTTGGGGGCGTGCGACGAGCAATCAGGTAAGCCAGCAAGCTGGTGGGCGGGCGACTCCCCTCTCCCGGGGAGAAGGCGAGGGCGGCCAGCATGGGGGAAGGGCACAGGAAATCGGACACCTCCACCGTCTTCCCTGGCCTAGCTCTACCCAAGCTTTGTCTGCCCGCCCTCGGCCAGGCGGGGCGGAGGGTCTGGGGTCCGGCCCGAGAAGGCGCAACGCGGGAACTGCAGTCTGGTGCTAGAGCCATTGCGTCCGCCACCGCGCGGCCCCACCCGGAGGGACCAGTGTCCCCGTGTCCCTGTCTAGTCACGTTCATTGGGCTGCAGAGACCTAACTCTTCGCCACCCGCAGGTTCGCAACGTTCGCTCCCCAATCCCGGCCGGGGTTCTCGCCTCCACTTCCGCATTTCCCCGCTGGGCCGGAGAAGCTAGGCCGGAGTGATTCGGGCTGAAGTGGCGGCCGCGTCGCCCGGTCAGCCTCCCGGAGGGAGGAGGCGCGAGAGGGAGGAGGAAGTCGCCGGGGAGGCGGGGGCGCGGCGGCGCGGGGCGCGTCGGGTTACACTCGCCCAGCCCGCCCTGAGTGACATCCCCGCACGCCTCGGCTGGAGCACGGGGGCCGAGTCTGATTCCGGGGGAGGCAGACTCCGCCTCGGTTGGAGGAACTAGGTGCTCCCACCCGTGCCCCCTCGCGCGTGAGGATCAATCTCAGGTGTGTGCTTCCTGCGAGACCCCCGTCCCCAGGGTTCAGGGGAGAGCTCCCCCTTTCTGACCTGGATGACTCTTTGGGACTCCGGTACTGCGGTGGGTGGTGGCGGGAAACTGGGGACTGATTTAGAATTTCTCCTCCCCAACAGATGAAGGACTGGTTCCTACGTAGGATTTAGCTGATTACATTTGGAAGGGGGTGGGGTAGAGGACATTTGTTATACACTTGATTTAGAAAGTGGCGAGACTTTCAGGCGAGGATTGGTATCTCATTGAAAGTTTAGACGAACTTTTAGCTTGCGGTTGTGGCTAGTCTGATTAGAAGTGTTCCTCCTTTCTGAAGCGAGGCTTCTAACGATTCAGGAAGGGCGCCCAGGCTTCTTTGAGAAGCTCAGCTGCTGGGATGTGATTGTCCTAGCAGAAAATGGAAGGTGTACACTGATGAACCTAAAACCGCCTCCACTCCCCCCACGTAGTAGCTTCGACCAGCAAAAATAGACTTTCGGAGTGCTTTGGCAGGAAGCTGTAGCTGGGTGAATGAAGTACTGCTCTTAGCGATGGTTTAGACTGCCGTCTGCCCTGCGTGGAGTAGGATTCGCTCCCTGAACAGCCTTCCTCAGGAGTCCCAGAGTACTTTACACACACAGATCTTTGCTGTCTTAGTGACACGGGCAATCCCCAATCACACAACACATTATAAATATCAAGGAGGCAGCCGTAGAAATAGCTAACAAACAGCTAATTTAATCAGCTTGTATAAATAGGTGAGGGAAGGAAGTTAAGTCATGCAGTCTACCACTTTGTTAGTATTTTGTCTGTGTTCCAAGTTTAAAAGATCTGGAGGGGTTTGTTTTGTGTGTGTGTGTGTGTGTGTGTGTGTGTAATGTGGCAGAGTAGAGGCAACTGTCACACCAGGGGAGACACTTGTTGGTAGCTACGGACCACTCTAGTCTAAATCCTACAGTTCTTTCTGGCTGCGATATGACAGCTGGATGCCACTCTCCAATGGTTAGGTTTTGTAACTAATCTTATTATAGATACTTAAAAGATTTGATTATTATTGTTATCACTATTATAAATCACATTGGCAAACTCTTATGACTGAAATTACTCTGGTTGCAGTGTGAGGACCTTATGAGGTGTTTCTCATAGGGGCATTATGTCAAGTTACAACAGTCCGTTGGTTTTTACAAATCGATTCTTCAAATAATGCCGCAGTGCCTTACTGAATAATGGATAAAAGATAGGATTTGGGGATCCATGCCGTTGCAGCTGTCTATTCTAATAGCTCACAGTCATTTTATTTTATAAAGGAATTCTAAGCCACATTGAAGTTCTTACTTTTCTTTCCAATAAGTTGGTTCAGTAATTGACAAGAGGTCCACAGTGTAACCAGTGGTGGATTTTATACCTTTCCTCCAGTTTAGGTTTTGTAACTAATCTTACTATAGATACTTAAAAGATTTGGTTATCATTATGTATAAATCATACTGGCAAACTATTATGACTCTGAAAGTATTCTGGGTGGTTATTTATTTATCACTAGAATGTAAAAGGTCTTGGTCTGTCTTGCAGCTTTAGATCTCTAATGCCTAATGGTGCTGAGTTTTAAATAAGTGTTCAATAAATGTTTTCCTAGTGAGTGACTAAACTGTGGAAAAAACCATAGCTGAGTGTAGTGGAGGGTGAGGGACAAAGACTTTGGCCCTAGGTGACCTATTTAAATTTACTAAGACTCAATTGCTTTACTGACAAATATGGATAAGATACTGGGATAGTTGAGGCAGCTGGATTTCACATGGCCAACTGTGCAGTTGAGTCCTTGACTTGGCAGTTTGAAAAACATGGCAGGTGTGTGTGCGTGTCCAAAGTCCTGAGAAGAGAATGAGGAAAAGGGGCTTGTGACAAGTCTGTCCTCCCTAGGTGGTACTTTCTCATGTTCTTTCTTTCTCTTTGTCTCTATTAGGGAAGCCTCATGTGCAGTATAGCAAAATGAAAAAACAATCAAAAAAGCCCACATGACATTACATATGTAAAATCACTAGTGAGATACTCTGCAGATAGTAGACTTCAAGATATTAGCTTCCTTCCCTGCATTTTTCTTCCTATATTTAAGAAGTATAGGGGCTATCAAGTAGCCTCGTGGTTAAGGGCGCTGGACTTCCACATGACTGACTGCGATTTTAGTCCCAGACCTGGGGGCTTGCTTTCTCGCTTTCCCTCTCTCTCTCTCTGTACCTTTCTGGTCAAATTAAAATGAGTAAATAAATAAATACAGTCAATAAGACAATTCTTTTTTCTTTTTTAAAAAAAGAAGTATAATTCTGACAAAAATTACAGTTAGTTATATAATTTAGCTTTCATGTTGTGTATTAATGATCCACATTTTCCTATTTAATTTGGTGTGTGACAGTGGGATACAGGGACAGCTATGGTTATTACAAGGAGAACAATTTACAATCATTTATTTTTCTTTTTAAAAAACTTTATAATTAGGGGCCAGAGGATATATGTGTGCATGAGAGAGAGAGAGAGAGAAGTGACTCCCAGTGGGGCCTGATGATGCTCAGTCCTTTTTCCTGTAATTCTCCATCCAGTCAGGATCCTGGGCACACTTGCATGTGTGTCCAATGTATTAAAAAAGACCTAATGACTGAAACTCAAAACCTGTTCTGCCATGTGGAATCTGATTATTTAAGTTCTCCTCTTTATTTTTGAATGTGATGATGCTTCCATTTAGGTCTGACAAAACTTGATTCCTTCTATTTGTCAACACTGGTCTCATGAGGCTGTCATAAGAGCAAAAATAACATTTCAGAAAGAGCTCTGGAAATCAAATAATGTAACATTTCGGTTCTAAATGAAATTTTCTACAGTCTTGTGTAGCACTATATACTTTTAAGTACTAGATAATGAAGTATGATTGCCTTCATTCGTCTTTAGAGAAGAACAGTTTAACAAGGTAAAACATAAATGTATGTTTACAGATGTAAAATGATTGGAGACCAGCTTAAGATCTTGTGCAATCATTTAGCCAGTGATAGTTGGCTGTAACTGTTGTGGTTATGGAAGGGAGAAGTTAACATGGGCTCCAGTAGTTGGAGACAGCTTTGTGGTGAAGGGACCATCACTTCGGTCACAGAGACATAAAGTTTTCCTGAAGATTACAGCAAAAGAATATAGCTTTTGTTTCAAGTTTGTCATTTTATATTATAATGTGTTAAAAAGCCAACACAAATATTACTTTGTTTTTTAAAAGAAGTATTTAATTTTTATTTATTTATAAAATTATTTTATTTACTTCTTATTCATTATCATTATTATTATTTTAAAATTTGACCAGAGAGGCACACAGAGGAAGAGAGAGAAGGAAAGTGAGAAGGCAAGCCACCAAATCTGAGATGCAAACCATGGTTGGCCATGTGGGAGTCCAACATGCCTTAGCCACCATGCCAACTGCTGGTCCCTCGACCAAAGAGAGATGTAGAGAGAAAGAGAGAGAAAGAGAGAGAGAGAGGGAAATTGAGAAAGCAAGGACTGCGATTTTAGTCCCAGACCTGGGGGCTTGCTTTCTCGCTTTCCCTCTCTCTCTCTCTGTACCTTTCTGGTCAAATTAAAATGAGTAAATAAATAAATACAGTCAATAAGACAATTCTTTTTTCTTTTTTAAAAAAAGAAGTATAATTCTGACAAAAATTACAGTTAGTTATATAATTTAGCTTTCATGTTGTGTATTAATGATCCACATTTTCCTATTTAATTTGGTGTGTGACAGTGGGATACAGGGACAGCTATGGTTATTACAAGGAGAACAATTTACAATCATTTATTTTTCTTTTTAAAAAACTTTATAATTAGGGGCCAGAGGATATATGTGTGCATGAGAGAGAGAGAGAGAGAAGTGACTCCCAGTGGGGCCTGATGATGCTCAGTCCTTTTTCCTGTAATTCTCCATCCAGTCAGGATCCTGGGCACACTTGCATGTGTGTCCAATGTATTAAAAAAGACCTAATGACTGAAACTCAAAACCTGTTCTGCCATGTGGAATCTGATTATTTAAGTTCTCCTCTTTATTTTTGAATGTGATGATGCTTCCATTTAGGTCTGACAAAACTTGATTCCTTCTATTTGTCAACACTGGTCTCATGAGGCTGTCATAAGAGCAAAAATAACATTTCAGAAAGAGCTCTGGAAATCAAATAATGTAACATTTCGGTTCTAAATGAAATTTTCTACAGTCTTGTGTAGCACTATATACTTTTAAGTACTAGATAATGAAGTATGATTGCCTTCATTCGTCTTTAGAGAAGAACAGTTTAAC